ATTGGCTTCTAAAGCTTTTATAGCAAACATGACATCCCGTCATTTTTCCACCTTCTGACTCCGTGTCCTGATCTGGATTCTGTCCTGCTCACTGTTCTGTGGCCCCTTAGGAGTTCCTGGTTTTCTGAGGCCCCTGCCGCCTGCTGATGGCCTCTCAGATGCTGGATGATGGCCAGCTGGGTGTGTGACATCATCTGACCCAGATTCCTTGTCCCTCCCACCTGCTGTCTGGGTGGGACTGGTTCCCGCCTTACCTGCCGATCGCTCACAGACACACCGCTTCTCCTGCTCCCTCAGGCCTGTGCTCCAGACACCAACAGAATGTCACCCCTGGGCGTCTACTGCGGGTCAGTTTCCCAGCACTGCCCCGCCCTGGGCGTGGCTAGTTCCGGAGTGGACAGTGCGCCCTGCTGCCGTCCTGCCGTGCACGCCTGGGCAGATCTGAGAGGGGAAGCCTCCGTGTGATGCAGGGTGGAGGAGTCAGCCTCCAGCTCTTGATCTTGGGGCTGCAGAACTTATGCTCAGTTGGGCTTCCCATCACTCCCCCGACTGGGGCCAGGCCTCGGACTAGCTGCCTCCCTGAGCATTGCGTCTGCCCAGCAGGTGTCCTCCAGGACTGTGGGCCCACACCGTGTGGACACCCCGTGTCCTTCCAGGAGGAGCATGCACCCAGATGTGAGGCTTCGTGACCCCCAGTCAGCAAGGAGGGAAGAGCCATAGACTGAGAGGGCGCCCCCCGCCACAGCCCTCTGTTTAGGTACGTGACCTAAACACTGAAAGTCGTGTGACTTTGGTTGTCATCAGAACCGGATCCATATGACCAGCACGTAGCAGCATCTCACCTCGCGAGCGGAGGCCTGAGCCGGCTCTCATTGTCCGTCGCCCCGCAGTTTAGTGAAAGGCTCGAGACCTGCCTTCTTAGCCCCCTGGGCTCTGGAGTTAAGCAGACATGAGCAAAAACCTGCGCCCTCTCACACAAGGCGGACCCCATTTCATTGCACTTCACAGACGTTATGTTTGTACAATTGAAGGCAAGACCCGCCACCAGCAAACGATTACCACGCTTCCTTGCGATGCTCACTTTATTGTGGTGGTTGGTGACCAAACTCGCACCTGCAGGATCCCCGAGGTCTGCCTGCGTTAGTGTGGGACCCAGAGCACTTTCTAAATTCTTCCCCCTCCGTTTCCTCCGCCATGAAATGAGGATGGTCCCAGGGCTGACCAAATAGGGTTGTTGGAAGAATTTAAAAAGTTATTTAGTGAACAGTATTTAGCAAGGTGCCTGGACCATGGAGAAAAGATCAACAAATTGTTTATTATTATTGTTGTAGTTCTTCTTCTTAAGTCTCCGTCCTGTGCTCTCTCCTGGGGCAGCAGTGGGACATGTCCTGGCACTGGCTGGGCCAATGGAGGGGCAGTGGAGGGTTCGAGGTAAAGGCAGAAAGCACAAGAGGCCGCATCCTGAGACCAGCTGGCCCTGCAGGCCCGTCAGAAAGCGGCAGGCCTTGAGCCTGGCCTTCGAAGAACCTGAATGGGCAGGACCAGACGCAGCAGTGGCCAGGGCACTTCCCCAGGGCAGGGCTCCTGAGAGGGCGTTCAGGCCAGCCCTGCCCGCAGACGCCCTCCCCACTGGGCCTCTGACTGCGCAGGCGGCCCGCCCTCTGCGGGGCTCAGGCACTTGATGGGTGGAGGCGGGAGCCCACAGTGGGCCAATGGGTGGTGGTTGTGAAATGTCAGACATGGTAATACAGTAACCACTGCACCGAGTGATGCTACGGTGTAACTATCTGTGACAGTAATTACACCCAGAGATGAACTCGGAGGCTCACTCTCCTCCCATCAATAAGACTGTCTGTCTCCTCCCGCCCTGGGAACAGGGACTCTTCCTGTGACACTGGCTCTCTGCCGCCTCCTCCCTGGAGCACTGCTCAGCCCCTCTGCGTGGAGGCTTCCCCCCTGGGCGGTCACAGTCCTCTGCAGGCACACCTGTGGCACAGGGCTGGTGTCCCTGTCTCGTCTCCCTACAGCACGGGAAGGTCCTGCGTGCAGGTACCTGTCTGACCTGGCACAGTCCTCCTGGGCCCCAGCCTAGTGCCCCAAGGGTCATGGACACTTCTCAGGTGCTTATGGCTGGGATGACGTCCTAAGACATTGTATAGTGACAGAGTTTAAAAATGTACTTGTAGTCAGGGGGTGGGGTGCCCTTGGAAATCTCAGGAAGAGAAATTTGTGAACATTCTCTTCAGTCTCCCCTGTCTCTGTTAATACTCACAGCCTATGGCATGTTTGCAGGTAGGACCCCTCAGTGGGGCAGGGGCCTCAGAATGTCACAGAGCGGCAGAGAGGATGGCTGGGGTCCCCGGGCAGGCAGCTGTGCAGCTGGCCACTTCACAGTTCTCGGGAAATGATGGCAGATGTCCCAGCAGCTTCTGCTCCCTGATTGTGGGGCTGGTCCGAAGTGGAGCCTTGTAATTCTGCACATTTGCATTTGGGCCCAACGCCCAGGAAACCTGATATGTAAATGAACCCGGTGTTCATTTACACTGAGCCCTGTCTGTGCTGTAGACACACCGAGGAAAGGAAGGCTGCCCCCAAAACATACACATAAAAACATGCACACACTGCCTGGCTAGCGTGGCTCAGTGGTTGAGCGTTGACCCATGAACCAGGAGGTCAAGGTTCGATTCCCAGTCAGGACACATGCTCGGATTGCAGGCTTGATCCCCAGTGTGGGGTGTGCAGGAGACAGCCGATCAATGATTCTCTCTCATCATTGATGTTTCTATCTCTCCCTCCCTCTCCCTTCCTCTCTGAAATAAATAAAAATATATTTTAAAAAAACATGCACACACCAATAAAACATACACACACAACACACACAAAAAATACCCACAGCATATACAATATACATATAACATATGCACAAAACACATACAACCACAAAACACACAGCACATAATAATATAACACACAAAATACAACACACATATACATAAAAGACATAAACACCTTATGAAAACATACATGTACACAAAATATATATACATAAAGCATATAAACACCCCCATACACACAGAAAAAAATAAATGCACCAAATACACACACAGGCAGAAAAATATAGCATGTCAAAAAGTCTGAATGGTGATGGCTCTGTAAGAGTGGTTAGTTAAGTGAAAAAAGATTTAATAAATTAGATTCCTTAAAAGTTTCTGTAAGTCCTGGCCAGCTACCTCAGTTGGTTAGAACGTTGTCCCAATAAGTTAAGGTTTCGGGTTCAATCCCTGGTCGGGGCACATAAAAGAATCAACCAATGAATACATAAATAAGGAACAACAAATCAATGTCTCTCTCTCTCTCTCTCTCTCTCTCTCTCTCTCTCTCTCTCTTTAAAATCAATCAATAAAAAAATTTTAAATTCATTGTATGATGCAAAATTTTTAAAAGTATGTAAGGAAGATATGTATATGCTTTGACCCAGCAATTACACTTCTAGGAATTTATCCCAGGAACATAATCAGTGATGTATGCAAAGGCTTAAGTCCAAGCATATTTAGCATGGCATTGTATATAAGAGTGTAAAAATGAAGACCTGATGTTCAACACTGGGGATTAGTTTAATAATGTTTATCCACCGGTGACCCTTGTCCTCTTCCTCAACCTCCAACAAATAAAAACGCAAATGAGCAAACAGAGAGCATCCTGTTGTGCATCAACGGGGATCAGATTACCAGATTCATTGAGGTTGTGTGGGGGGCACTACAGGGACTTTGCAGTGTGTGCTCCACACCCACGACATCACACCCCCTTGCCGAGGTGACCTCCCTCTGGAGCCCGGGGCAGGGTCTCTACAGGTCTATTTCCTGCAGAACCTACAGGGCTCCTCCCACCCCATCTCCTCCTGGGCCCTGGGAACAGGAGCGCCTGCCTGGGAGACAGTTTAGTGACGGTCTTGACTTTGCTTTTACTTCATCTTTTCCTTCACCGTCTCGTCCCCATCCCAAAGGTTTATGAAGAAATTCTCCAAAGATCTCTTTCTTAGGAATTTAACAGACAAAATAGGGATTTTAATTCCAGCTCTCAAGGGAATAACCTTTTTCCAGGCCTTTAGCTAAAGAAAGAAGTAACACGCAGCTATAAAAAATCCTGTTGTAACGAAGTATTGATCACATGAAACGACCTGAGGTATCATATTGAGTAGAAAAAGCAAGATGCATTATAGGAAAGGCGTGTTACAAAAGGAACTACAGAACACTTTTCTGTCTGCATGTATGTAGATGCGAGCATGGAAAAACATAGAAGGAGAGACCATTTAAGGGACGGAGCCACCACACGCTCATAAAGGCCTGCGTTCTAGTCCTGTGCTGCTGGTGGTGGTGCCCAGAAGCTGTGACCTTACTTGGTTGTGTGGACTTTCACCTGAATTGACTGGCTGGTTTTGGTGTTGTGAATGGACAGGAGCAAATACAATGCAGAGCACATGGGAACACCCGGTGGGCTGTAGAGAGAAGCTGGTCGTTGGGGAGCTTTGCATGTCCCCGTTGAAGGAAAGGTGGAGGGAGATGTCCGTGACGTCCTGGAGTGCATCTGGAGGAGAGATGCCAGCAGGGCCTTTTTCTCGGGGACATGGGCATTGCACCGGGACTGGGGCAAAGAACCCACGTGAGGGCGGGACTTCCTGCAGCACTGGCCACTGCCTGACCACCTTGCGTCTGCCTTTCTTTCCCTCAGGTCTCTTCCCTACCCCTTTGTTGTTGGTGTATATGGGCAGCCACCCCGTCTGTCTTGAGCACCTTGAAATGTGCTGAAGGGAGGTGGCCTGGTCCTTGGCAGAGTGACATGACCCATAGGAATTTTGCTTATGTGCACAAATTGCAAAATGGCAGGCGATGAAGACTGATAACCTAAGATGCTGTTATCATTGGCTAAAGGAATGCTGTCGTGGCTTTTATATATACACTCCCCAACATTATTCATAAGAAGGGTAAGGCCTGGTTCCTCCAGGTCAGAGATTTCGAGGACAAAGACCGGAGTCCCAAGGGCCCAAGACAGAGCCACAGATCGCGGGGATCCCTGGCCCAGGTAGGTGGTCCTCACCCCTCGCACAAGAGGCCAACAGACACGATGGGGAACCAGACGCCCTCCCTGCCCCCTCCGCTGTTTCAGCCCAGCAGCCACGCGCTGTCTCCTAGGATGGCTTCCCCACTGAGCAGGGCCTCGCTGCAGGGCCAGGCCCACATGGAGCTTAGGACACCTTAGGGAGACGCTGGGACCTGGTCTGAAGGCTGAACTGATTTCAAAGTCTGGGAAGTACTGGGCTTCAGAAAGAGATATTGGGCCCCCATATTTTGAGCATCCCTAGGTGGGAAGGGATGGATCTCAGGTGCCTAATGCCCTGTTTCTTTAGGGATCCTTGTGGACCCCACTTGCACTGATGTTGCTGTAGGTGGCCCCCATAAGCAGCTCCCGGGGACACCCAGGGGCCTCCCTTTTGGGCGTCACCTTGTTCTCCCTCAGGAGCACATATTTGGGCACCCACATTTCTGCCAGACACCTCTTGTCTGGTGGCCCGTGGCTGCCAAATTCTCTGCCTTCTTCTCTGTGTCCCTTACTTACCCCCCAAACTGCAAAGGTAATTGTGCTTTGTGGGTTCAGGGGATGCAGACAAAAACCAAACATAAAATCAAATAGTGGTACCTGTGCATCCGTGAAAGCTCCTCCAGGTCTCCCTACCCCAGGGCTACAGGGACCATCCCCACCTTTCCCCACAGTCCTGGCTGCCGGGCCCTGGAGCCCTTCCTTTTCATGTTTATTTTTTGCGAAACCATTTACTTCCCTTTGTCACACGCTTAAGCCTTTCTTGGAGGTTTGGTTTTCTACATAAATTGACCATCAACAATGTTTAAAAAAATATATTTTTATTGATTTTGAGAGAGAGAGGAAAGGAGAGGGAGAGAGAGAAACATCGATGGGCCGCCTCCTACCAGGCAAGCCCACAGAGAGAGGAAAGGAGAGGGAGAGAGAGAAACATCGATGGGCCGCCTCCTACCAGGGATCAAGCCCACAACCTGGGCATGTGCCCTGATTGGGAATTGAACCGGCAACCTTCCGGTGCATGGAAGGACACCCAGCCCACGGAGCCACACCGGCCAGGCCCCACCTGCAATCTTAAAAGTGGTGTGGCCCTTGAGAAGTCTCTCGAGGTTTTCTTCTTGAAAACTTTTCATCTTGAAGGTTTTCAAGAACAAGAATTCTTGCCTCTGCCCTCACAGTGTTGTCCTGAGCTGATGCTGGGAAAGATTTTGAGTGAATTGAGTGAGAAGTGACGCATGATATTGGGGGAGGGGGTCCCTTGTGTCAGCCTCCTTAACACAGCAGGAGCTGAGCCTCCTGGGAGAGTTTGGAGGCTCCGTTTTCCATGACAAGAGGCTGCAAAGAAACTGCCTTTCTTTGCAAAGATTAGACTGCAAGGAGGTTCAGGGTGTGTGTGTGTGTGTGTGTGTGTGTGTGTGATTTTTTTCCTATAAAGATTGGGACAGTCAGCATTATAGGCTTTACTATCTCTCCTTGAATATTCATCTCTGCTGTGTAGCTGGAGAGCAGCCTCAGATGACATATAGATGGCTGTGTTCCAATAAAACTTTATTTAAAAAACAAGAGTGGACCTTGGCTGGGGTGGTTAGAGTGTCATCTAATATGCCAAGATTGCAGGGTAGATCCCCAATCAGGGCACTTACAAGAATCAACCAATGAATGTATAAGTGGAACAACAACTCGATGTTTCTATCTCTCCCTTCCTCTCTCGCTCTCTCTCTCTCAAATCAATAAATAAATTTAAAAAAAATTATCCTGACAGGTTTGGCTCAGTGGATAGAGCATCAGCCTGTGGACTGAAGGGTCCCAGGTTCGATTCCAGTCAAGGGCATGTACCATGGTTGCGGGCACATCCCCAGTAGGGGGTGTGCAGGAGACAGCTGATCAATGTTTCTCTCTCATGGATGTTTCTAACTCTCTATCCCTCTCCCTTCCTCTCTGTAAAAAATCAATAAAATATATTTTAAAATTTTTTAAAAATTAAAAACAAAAACAAGAACAGGAGTGGGATGACTTGGCCTGTGGGCTATAGTTTGCCAGCCCTGGGATTAGAGCAGTGCAGTTTGAACTTTCTATGTCATTTTTATAAAATGTTGCCAAGATCCATAAAAGATCCACAGGTTGGAAAGCATCACTTTGTAGGGGCAGAAAGCGAAGGAGCACCGGAGGGAAGAGCATGCTCGCCCGGCACGGCCGCCCTGACGCAGCCAACAGTTCGGGGCAGAGAGGACAGCCGGGGGCCGGCGGCACACGCAGGGCATCGGCGAGGTGTCCTGGCCAGACGGGGCCATGACAGTGTCCTTCCTGTACCCTCAGGTCCTGCCCTTCATCCCAGGCTCCAGGCGTCATTTCATCACCCAGACGATGTCCTTTCAGGAGGAGAGCGCAGGAGTGCAGGTGGACTCTGCAGATGGGGAAGGGGCCGGAGCCCAGGGCAGCACAGAAGGTGAGGTGCTTGTGAAGATTCCCCCGCCCCCCGCACCTCCCTCCCCCAGAGAAGCCTGCACAGGCCCCTGCCTCCTGGACCCTGCATGGGGACGGAGCGTTGGGAATCTCCCTGGTAGATGAATCCGAGGACAGAAATCCTCAAGGGGAGATGAAGCTTAATCGCAGGCGACCTGGGCAGCCGATGGCGGATAAATGGGTCAACTTTACCAGCGGCTCGGGGCGTGATGTCCTGACTCACCATCGGATGGTTGTGAACCCTCCACTCGCACCTAGTGCCCCTGCCTGCCCAGCCCAGCCGAGGAGGGGCCTGCGTGGGGTCTCTGCGTCTGGGTGGGCAGTGACCCAGCGCTTCTGAGCCCTCCCGGGAGGAAGCACTGGGCACTGGCTCAAGGGAGACATTGAAAGCAAAACGCTGACCCACGTGGCTGTCCAGTGTGCGAGTGTGAGGGGAAGGGCCTGGGACACGCCAGAGGCCACGTCCCGAGCTGTGGACTCACACGTGGCCATCACAGTTCGAAGCTAAAATCAGGACGTTGGTCTGACAACTGTGGGTCCACTAAGGGTAACCACAGGGACTCTTCTCCCGCAGCCCGTGAGCCCTGCGTCTGGTTCCCCCCCGGGCGGGCCTCAGACTTGGGCCCCCACAGTCGGGGGTGAGGGATGCTCTGCCCTGAGCTGTGCACGTGCGATGGCGGGCTCTGCACTCAGCTCCAGTTCACCTCCGTTCCCCAGCATTTTCGACCAGAAAAGTTATTTTTAATGTCACCACTGCCTCTCTTCTTAGTGCTTCTGAAAACACACACAAACAGGTAAGGCATTAAATGGCCCCTGGTGCTCCTGGTCCCTGAAACACCCAACCTCACTGTCTTTCATTCCAGACCCAGCCCAAGGCGCCCTGGAGCCCGGCCAGAGCCCCCCCTCCCTCAGCTTGGCCACGGCAGGTACGGCCCTGGGGCCTGGACAGGGTGGGGTGGGGACGGTACCTCAGGGCCCTCTCAGGGGAGGGGGAGAACCAGAGACGGGGGACACCTACGGGTGCCGGGGTGGGGCTGACGCTTCTTTGTAGAAGCACCTCTTAGTAAGACCAACAGGAAAGATGGGCTTTGGTTTCTGCAGAGAGAGGTCACACATACCTCCGAGTGGCTCAGGAGAAACAAGCCTTTGAGCCTGGGAACCATCCAGCTTCCTCTGACTGTTGCTGGCAACCGTGACTTCCCCACAGCACCTGTGAAAACCAGGAACTGGGCAGGAGGGGCGTGGGGGACCCACACCATGGGTGCCCCAGGCACACTGAGCTAGAACCTGTCCCACAATAACCCAGAAGAAATGCTAGCATCACTATGTTCCAGGTGCAGACACTGAGGGGGAGGGGGGCTCCCTGCCCAGGTGCACAGGGTGTAAGCGACAGATGCTGGGATCGGAGGAACTACAACATCTGTCTGCCCAGTCAGGTTTCAGGTTCCCGCCCCCTCACCCCCTGCCCAGGGCAGCGTCAGGAACCCGTGGCCCAAGTGCCAGTTCCACCGCAGGCCATGGGTGCATACCAAGCCTCGATTCCTCCTAGGGCAAGGGCAGTGAGCCCCATAGGAGACGAGGTGCCAGGACGGCCTCGCATCCCTGGGAGCCACACTGCTGCTGCCTCAGGGTTTGGTTGGGTTGGCCCTGTGGGTGGAGGCGTCTGCTCCTGCTCCGCACTGTGCCCGTCTGGTGCCCCCGCCCACCCGGGGGCAGAGGTGCTCAGTGTGTGGTCCCTGGACCAGCAGCAGCAGCTCCTCCTGGAAATCTGGGGAATGAAGTCTCTGGCTCCACATAGACTCTCCCATTAGAAACTCGGGGTCTGAGGCTCAGGAGTTTTCGCAGCCATCAGGTGACTGGTGCTCGGCAGGGAAGACACCAGCCCCTGGAACACAACGCTGGACCGAGGCCTCTGGAAGGACATTGGCAGGATGGATTGGGGTCAGGAAAGGTGCGAGAGAGGACACGCACAGGCCTGAGCGGAGATGGGGGCCCAAGTCAGGCTGTGACAGGAGGGAACAGAAGTAAGAGGACAGATTTAGGAAATACAGGGTGCCCCCAAAATGTACGCACACTTTAGCAGGTGATAGTTCATTTTGAAAATGAAATCTATCACTGCCTTTATTATTATTCAAAGTGTGTGCATGCATTTGTTGGGGTTACCCTACATTTCAGAGTTAAAAAGCACGATGTTAGTGCTAGAAATGCAACTTACATAGCTTGTCTGGGTGTCACTCTGGACCAATTTAATCAGAATCTCAGGGTGTGAGGCCCAGGCACCCATGGTCTTAAAACATCCCCCACCAGGTGGTCCAACGTGCAGCCAGGTGACGCTCAGACCAGCAGCAGTGCCAGCCCCGGGGCTGATGGGAAGGCAGAGTTGTAGGTGAGGTTAATGTTTGAGAAGTTGGAAGGTGTAGAGTTTATCTGGTTTCATGATTCCGAATCAACCTGCATCAGTCCCATGAACTCAGAATGTCTGGGCCCAGAAAGCTCCTGGGAGATTCTAGTGTAAGCCGGGCTGTGATCCCCGGACCTCACATGACCCCATATCATTGCAGTTACTTAGGGTCTGGCCTGGGCCACCTATCCTGTCATAAGCACCCTTGGGGCACTAGGCTGGGGCCCAGGAGGACTGTGCCAGGCCAGACAGGTACCTGCACGCAGGACCCTCCCGTGCTGTAGGGAGACGAGACAAGGACACCAGCCCTGTGCGACAGGTGTGCCTGCAGAGGACTGTGACCGCCCAGGGGGGAAGCCTCCACGCAGAGGGGCTGAGCAGTGCTCCAGGGAGGAGGCGGCAGAGAGCCAGTGTCACAGGAAGAGTCCCTGTTCCCAGGGCGGGAGGAGACAGACAGTCTTATTGATGGGAGGAGAGTGAGCCTCCGAGTTCATCTCTGGGTGTAATTACTGTCACAGATAGTTACACCGTAGCATCACTCGGTGCAGTGGTTACTGTATTACCATGTCTGACATTTCACAACCACCACCCATTGGCCCACTGTGGGCTCCCGCCTCCACCCATCAAGTGCCTGAGCCCCGCAGAGGGCGGGCCGCCTGCGTAGTGGGGAGGGCGTCTGCGGGCAGGGCTAGCCTGAACCCTCTCTCAGGAGCCCTGCCCTGGGAAGTGCCCTGGCCACTGCTGCGGCTGGTCCAGCCCATTCAGGGAGGTTCTTCGAAGGCCAGGCTCAAGGCCTGCCGCTTTCTGACGGGCCTGCAGGGCCAGCTGGTCTCAGGATGCGGCCTCCTGTGCTTTCTGCCTTTACCTCGCACCCTCCACTGCCCCTCCATTGGTCTGGCCAGTGCCGGATGGGTTTCCCCCAGGCACTGCTGGGAGCATGGTGTCTCAGGAGAGGAGACAGTGCAGCAGAGGGGTTAAGAAGAATAACGATGAGCATAATAATGATTAACAGCCCTCTGTCTGAGTTCTTTCCATACTCAGACACCTGGCTAAGTGTCGTTCATTTGAGTAAGCGTTTTAATCCTGCCAACACCCCTGCGAGGTAGGTGCTGTTCTTACCCCCACTTTACACACGAGGACATGAGGTTTGGAGAGAATAGTGACGTCTGCTATGTGCTAGAGCAGTAAGTCACAGAGCTTGGGGCTGAACCCACGTGTCAAAATTGGGAACCCACGTGCTCACACATGTGCTGAATCGCTGGCCTGGAGCAAGGCAGGGAGCCTGGCGTGGGGAGGTCTTCAGTGGGCTGATGTCCGAGCCCACAGGCAGGAGGAGGGCTGGGCTGGGACCCTCCTGTGGCCTAAGAAGGACTGAGTTTTCCATTTTCAATGTGAAGTGTTGACATCTGGTTATATTCATCTAGATCCAAAAGTGAAGAACCCAGAACCACAGAAATTCACCTTTCGCGACCGGAACCAAAATGTATTGGTGCTGGTCTCTGGGACCCTCATAGCAGTTCCCCCCAAAAGCTACATATGCCCAGGTGACTTCAACTCTCTCTCTCTCTTTCTCTCTTGTTTTCTGTCCCCCAAGTCCTTCCAGCTGGGGCTCAGCTCAGGCTGTAGGACACCTCCAGCTCCAGCAGGGGGCAGGCAGTGGGTGGAGCATCCCCGGGGGCTGCTGGGAATGCAGTGTGGAGTGGAGGGTCTGAGGGCACAAGATCTGAGGGGCGTCTCTCTGGTCTGTGGGGGAGGAGGAGGCTTGCACCCGAGTGAAGGAGCCTGCAGCCCCACAGGCAGAAGGCTCATGCCTGCTCTGAGGACCACCCTGCTTTCTGTGACTCTTTTCCCAGAGACCTTCTACGTCTTAGCCTCTCCTCTGAGCTCAGCGGGTGACAAGGGAAACCCCGTTTTCCTGGCCGTCTCAGGAGGAAAGCTGTGTCTTTACTGTGAGATGGACAAGAAGAAAGGCCGGCCCACCCTCCTGCTGAAGGTGAGCGCTCATTCCCACCCAGCGTCCTGTCCTCTCAGCCACCCCAAAGGGGAAGGCCAGGCCAGCAGTGCCCCTCGCTCCCCGCTATGCCTCTCCCCTGGGCCAGGGCCACAGGGAAACCCGCCCCTCCACCTGCCCTCAGGAAACCGGCTAGAGAGCTGCTGGCCCTCCTTGGCTCTGAGCTCCAAGAGCCCACACTGAGGTTTCCCTGGGCAGAGGCTGTGCTGCTGACCACTCCCTTCTACCTCACAGAAGAAGGACATCTCCCAGCTGCCTACCTCAGACACAAAAGATTCGAAGGGCTTCACCTTCTACAGGAAGAAGAGGAGGTGCCTGGAGTCGGCGGCCCACCAGGGCTGGTTCATCAGCACCTGCCATGCGAATGAACCTGTCAGAATGACAGACAAGCCTGGGAGACAGGAGCTCATCGACTTTACATTTATGCCTGTCAGCAAAGCTCACATGAGCCCCAGTGAGGTCAGCGAGTAGGACACAAATCTGATAACTTTCTAGTTTTGCGTTCGGCTGCTCAGAAAATAAAGACATAATACCGGAAAATTAAATGCTTCACTTTAAGGAGATGGTAGGCCTTTACTGCTTCACACAGTCAGATTTTCATAATTTTTGTCATCTGCATTTTAAAGAACATTTCCAAGTAAGTTGCACTGAAAACCCACAAAAATTAAGCATGTGGTGAAAAAAATGTACTAGTATGCATTTTATGCATTTACTGCTAAATATTTTCATGTAGTCAATAAAGATCTGAGTATGTTACAAAATAAATGTGTCAGTCTTATAAAAACAAACTATTAAAAACTAATTTTCTGAAGGTACTAAGCCCAAAATTTTACTTTAATGAATCAGCTAAATTTGATTTTTTCAAACTATTTTTTGCATTTACTTCACTATGAAATACCTTTAGTCATTAGATTTAGGCAGGTTAATATTAGAAGTGGGTAATAAATATACATGTACATGTGCACTGAACTGCAAGGTAAATGTATTTCAAAGCGTGCACTGTAGTAAAAAAGAAGTTTCAAAAGCACGATTCCCTGGTTATGAAAGCGGTCCGCCCGTGGGAACCCACGGAGCTCAGCTCTGCAGCCCCAGGTGTGGGCTCCCGAGGCTGTCCCTCACACTCACTCAATGTCTCTCGGTGTCATGGCGCCCTCTGCTGGTCACAGAAGGCAGAGCTGACGGCTGCGCAGCTCCCCCAGGGTCAGGTAGTAAAGGTGATTCTAGGTCTCCACTCAATGTCTCTCGGTGTCATGGCGCCCTCTGCTGGTGACAGAAGGCAGCGCTGACGGCTGCGCAGCTCCCCCAGGGACAGGTAGTAAAGGTCTCCGGATGCCCTGGCAGCTGGGCCCTCTCTGCAGCAGGACCCATGAGGACAGTTCTTTAAGGGGTTTGTGATGAGCCAAACTCTTTCATTTGTGAACCTAAGGTGAGCAAGGAGTGAGCAGCATCAGCTCATGACAGGTCTTGGGGTCTCACTACAGAGCTTTTGGGGTAGACAGTGTGGAGGGCTGTACTCAGGGGAGTGGCGTGAAGGAGAGGAAGGTGAACCGCCTGGAGCAGGGCGGACAGTTACGGGCGGGCAGGAATCCAGGTGATGTGTGCCCCCCAGGCCTCAGGTGGGGTGCCCTGTCTCTACCAGCCCTACACCTGTGAGGCTGACCCTGTGGCCAGCTTCCAAGGTCTCTTGTCCTGTCTTCTAGTTGTGCTCAGACCACGGGAGATCAGAGAAAGGGGAGAGTTAGGTTAGCGTAGCCCTCTTGCTAGCTCCAGCCCTCTCCTGCCCCCTCCAGTCTGGAGGAGGTGATGGACTTCAGCATGGCAGCTGGTCCTTCTCCATCTCCCAGGATTTCTCTGGACCAGCCTGCACTTTCGCGCACTCTCCCTCACACCCTGTGAGTGTGCCTCTGTCCCTAGCCAGGGCACATGCCTAAGAGCTTGCACTTTATTGCCTTAGCAATAGGGAGTCCTTGAAGGTTTTAGAGAACAGTGCAAGAGCAGATGAGCATTCTGGAAAACTCTGTCTGACTGAAGTGAGCAGGATGGCCTGAGTCAGTGAGGGTTGGAGGCGAGTGAACCATTAACCGGCAGCAGGGGGAATCCAGGTGACACACAGTGGCCTGAGCCCCACAGCACCGGGTCTGGGGGTTAGGGATGTGGAGAAGCCGAGCCATCAGATGGGCATGCCAGCTGCACATATTCCTTGGTAAGTAACTTTAAAAAGCTGGAAATTCAATATTTTGTTTCTGGGGTTGCAAAAATCAGTGTGATAAACGCGTCACACCGAAATGTGCTTTGCCCTGTCTCTCAGCCCCGCCCCATCCTCACAGGCTGGGAGGGCAGCTGGGTCTTCAGCACGTGCTGTTCCTGGGTCTTTCTGGCCCCACAGTTCACTCTTAGACTAGTGTCCAATGTAAGCATGATGTGAAGCGCAAATGTGAGCCATGTAGGGAATTTTAAATTTTCTGGTAGGCATATGAACAAAAGCACAAAGAAAGAATGAAACTTAAAATATACAAAGATCTCTTAAAACTCGTTCATATGAGAACAAACCACCCAAAACTGGGCAAAAAAAATTGAACCAGACACTTCACCGAAGGAGATATGCCTGTGAAAAGATGCTCCACATCCTATGTCATCAGGAAAACACAAATGAAAAAATAAGGGGATACCACTATGTACCTATCAGAATGGCCCAAATCCAGAATACTGACA